CAAACTACTACCATCTGGGGAAGAAGGATATCACTGCCACAGGTTTTCACCTCTTGCATAGTTCATTTTTAAAGCCCTACCTTTAAAGATAAACCCCTCTTGAAAAAGAGGAAAAAATGCTAAACTCATATTAGGGCTGTATGATAATAGAAGATAAAAAAAAAAAAAAAAATCTCTTTGTCATCTGTCATAATGTTGCTTCTGAGTCTCTCTGGACCTTTCAATGTTTTTCAATAAATCATAGTTGTCATGTTTGACATCTGTTGTAGATAGGACCCCTCCCAACAAGCTGAATTGATCTTCAGACATTTAAAACATTAATTCATAACACCAAAACTGAAAGCAGCACAAGATGTTAAATATATTTAAATATGAATTTGTGTGACTGGGCAAATTAAAAATCCTTACTGGGTAGAGCTCTAAATATCAAGCGAGAGAAAATTGCCACATAGATCCTATAGCTTTAACAGCTGTAGGATTTAATAAAATGACGGTACAACGTAAAATAGAATATATAAAACAGTCCTGATATTATAAAGACACATAGAGCTCCCCCCCCCCCCCAAAAAAAAACTATTTTTAAACGGAGAATACCCTATCAAGTCAGTCCAACTTCTATAATAATGATCTTTACAGTTTATCAGGAAATGGGGTTGTTAATTAGTGTCAGCTTTGGTGTTGATAAAATCTAGAACAAGCTCCCTAAAGACCGAACACTGAGTCAAGGGCAGCGACAGGGATGATTTCGTTGGTGGAGGCCACAGACATTTCCAATCTTCTTTTTCAATCCTTCTAATTTTGCATTTTTACCGTGGACAGTGTCACAACTGGTACTGTAGCATGAGGTGATACTTGGACCTTAAAGACTTTGTACAGGCAGAGAGGCAAATCAATAAATGACATTGCAGAAGGTTTGCAATATCTTACAGCACAGTACTGAGGAGATTCCAGGAGACAGTTATTTCAGGAGATTATACTGGGCATTTGAAGTCCTTAATCCATCAGTAGGACCAATCTCCGCTTCTTTGGGCAAGTAGGACTGGAACAACCTGAGCCCTACAGAGTGACCTCCAGTATGCCACTGGTATGATCTGACCAAACTATTTGGAAAGGACTTAATGGTGGTTGGCCAGATGCCCTCTAATACCTACTCATGGTCCAGTACCAACAAGCTCAACTTCAATTTGCCAGAAAACACCCTAATTGGCAGGTTCAGTATTGGCACTAAACAGATGGAGCAGGTTTACCCTTCTTGTGTGACAGACGTGAATGGATCTAACGAAGCTGTGAACATTATGCTGCCTGCGATACTTCAGTGTGATTGGTGTGGTGGTGTATCAGGAGGCATAATGATGGAGGAATGCACAGACAACTTGCATCCTGACTACTACTAGGTTTGAGGTAAAATCCTTGTACCCAATGTCAGACCATTTGCTAAAGCATTAGGACCGGGTTTATCTTGGTGCAAAATAATACATGGACTTAGGAGGCAATAGTGAAGATCTGAAACCACTGACTCTATGCCTTCCTGAGCTTAGTGCATTAGCACATCTCTGAGACATCAGGTTTACATCTGACTCCACCAGTGCCAACATTTTACCAGCACCAACTCAGCCGCCGACTATAGCTCAAAGCTTTATTGGATTTTCCATTAGTCCCAATGATGTGGAACAGTTACTAGTTTCAGTTCCTACTTGCTTAGGGTTCCAATGGTTTCGAGTCAAACAGAAAACAACAGGACTACCAGATGATGATTGTTAAGGGATGCCGTCATTATTTGCAGCATATTTTAATAACTATTTAAAACTAATCATTTTATGCTGTCTTTTCTGTGTATAAGCAGCATTATGGTGAGCTAGCTTGAGGTACATTATTGTCACATTTGCTCAAGCTCCTATCTTTCCATTTGGCCTCTCCCTCTCGTACTTATCCAGGGTGGTTCATCTAGCTGTAACAGCCCTCACTGACAGTTGCCTTTTACTTGGAATCTTACCACAGCCAGAAACTGAGAAGCAGTTTTGGCTGTGCTCTCTGCAAATCGCATCACCGCAGACTGAAGGGACACCTTCCATTTAAAGATCCCTCCCCCACTGAGAATCTCTGTTGTAATCAAACATGTAGCAAATCTAATTGGACTGACCTGACTGGTCCTGACCCACACAGATTAGGTACTAACAAAAAATGTCCAGTAGCTGAGTGGTGCCCCAGTCAGGATTTGGAAGCACAGACCCAAGGACACCATATATCATCTCACAAGGAGCATACCCTGACATTATCAGGCATGCATATAAGCACATGGGGCCATACAGACTACTTTGAATTGCTGCAGTGACATTTAAGCATATTCTACCATGAGTTCTTCAGAATCATGATTGATATGGTCTTTCTCAGTAATCCATTATCCATTTAATATTAACTTAACAGGATTGTTTTCTGATGCATTTTTTAAATTTTCCAATGTTTCTTTTAAGTACTTTGTAATGTATTGTATACTCCATGGTCAGGGGAATGCATCTTATACAGAAGATAATGAAAGCTTAAATTTGGTTCATGTATGTAGAGGTACAACTACAGGGAAGGGATATTTTCCAATAGAAAATACTAGGTACATGTAGTTGGACGAATGCAGGGCTTTTCTGTACTTTAACACATGCCTAATGTTTATGTCCAGTTCTACAGCAAGTACGCAATACAAAATTCTGTTATTCAAATTTTCAAAGATGACACAAAAACAAAACTTGGGGCACTGACTTGTAGTCATCACACATTCTTACTATTTGGGAACGTCAATGCTGCTCATGTAACTTTAATGGAGATACAAGGTGGGCAGAAACACAGCGATTAACACATGAAAATAAGTCATATAGCTTGCTCTGTACTTAACCAAAATACCTAAATAAGCTTAATGGCTGAAAAATTAAGTCCAAATAGGCAGATTAATAAAAATTAACCATAGAAATTTAACATGTCTTTACTGGTGATCCCTACAATAATAAACTGATTTTAAAAACAGAAAAAGGTAACAGTCCAATATACAGTGGGTTATGCTGCATTGTTTTAAAAGGCAATATTCCCTTTTCATTATTTGATCTTTTCCATCTCTGAGTTTCAGAACCTCTGAAGCTATTGTGTTTGCATTACCCTTTCCCATGTTTGTAGACATATCCCAACTAATTATTACCAATCCTATTAATTGCAAACCAGTTTAGCCTAATTAAAAACCAACATCTACAAACCATTTTAATTGCATTGCTTAAATTCATTTATTTTTTTATTTAAGCTCATCTGGAGAAAGAAAAATCTTAACCACCATTCAGGTCAAAGCGGATAGTGTAGAGAAAAACAATATAATGATTAACACATGCATCTGACTTAACAAACATAAGCTCCATCTGGCACTTTTCATACTTTTAAATACTCACAAAAAAAGGTTAATTACTAGGAGCAATCATTTCCTCACTATTAATTATAAGTGCAAAATACTTTTACTATAAACAATGAAAATATTAGATGCCACAGGCACTGACAGATGTGGAGGCTAAGCTCAAATGCTCGACTCTGACACAAATACAAGCACAAAGTTTGCATCAAATTAGGACAAAAACAAACTCTTCTTTACATTAGCTTACATGTGTATTAATTTGTCATCTAAGATATTTGCTGTAGATCTATTAGCAACATCAACAAAGGTGTTTGTGGTCAAAAAATGTTCAAAACACAACACAACAACATTTGAAACCACACTTCAGTTATTTGGCCATGTTTTCAAGGCAAGAGTGTAAAGTAAAATCGCTTCAGACGGAGTCAAGCTGCTCTTTCTGCTGATCCCCAACAGGTCAAAATGCAGGGAGGTACTGGGGCAAGACAAAATCCAGGGCAGACCCTGCAGTAACCTCATTAAATAGTCTCCTTGTTCTCAGTGTAACGCAGTAGATGCCTGGTCAACATCCAAGCGGTGTGCACAGTGCCCACTGAGTGAACATTAATAAAAGCATCAGACAAACGTATTAGCACAACTGATGTAAAAGCACATCCTGTCTGATACTGTTTCTTAGTAAGGAGGCAGAATGCCTGGATCAAAATCCACCACAAACAGAAAGGGAAAATAAGAAAAAACAGGCAGTAATGATTTTATAGTTTTCACAATAAAAGAACAGAAAAAGCCACCAAGATAATCCTAAGCATCTTGTTAATCAGATGCACTCTTCAGAGGTGAGAGGGTAAACTTGCGCACAAATTCACGAGAAAGCAAGCCCCTAGGCTTGAAATCGTTCTCTGACATGAGGACACGCTTCAAAAGGTTGTTTTCATGCGCCTCTACAGACTGCCGTGATAATCCAGTGGAGCTGCTGGATGAAGTAATTGAGGCTCTATCAGGGCTGTGTTCAGATGTAGCTGAAATGTTGCTTTGAAAGTGTTCAAACTGTTGCCTTGTAGTGGTGGTTTTTAAGCGTGACTTGGAGTTTGCCAGAGTGCCTACGGGACCAAAGCCGCTCTTGTTGATTTGACCAAGTTGCACTGATTCCATCATCGTCAATTCTTCAGAAACCATTCGATCATCAGTTCCTTCTCCGTCTCTGTTAGGTGTGAGTTTTATGCTCGGATCGATAAGAATACAGTCATAATCGGTTTCGCTGCTTTCTGTGTCCATAACCTCCTCAGATTCGTCCTGCTCCTCGCTCTCTGCCTCCCAGGCATCTACATACGATTTTCTGAATTCTTCCACAGGACTATCAAATACAACTCCTCTGGGAGCAACAGGTCTGAGATTTCTGTAACCAAGGCCAACATATGCTGAGGGCCTGAGCTGCCTTTCTGGTTGTCTCAACATGTACAGCTGGACTGACTCGGGTATGTGGATTTCCCTGCGTTTGTTGTGTGGCAGTAGAGCAGACAGACCTCCAGGTAGGCATCGTCCCACAATTGGCACAACAGAATAAGGTTTCAGTGCAGAGACAAAATCATCTAGTTCTTGGTAGGAAGAGTGGTCAGAATAGGGCACAACATGGACATTAGGGTGGAAGGAGACGAGGGGTCTGCTGGTGGGTATAATGGCCAATGTGGGTTGTCCTTTGTTCCACTCAAGCAACGCCGAAGAGCAAATCCTGGACTGCTCCACTGCTCGGATACGGCCAGCCCCTGGCTCAGTGGTGAAGACGTCAGGAAGCTCCAGAGCCATGATGGTTTCCATTCTCTCAACACTCACCTCAACCCAGGTTTTAAACTCCATCGCTAGCTCCACCAGCAGCGTCTCCTTACCCAAAGCATACACGCCTGTCAGACGGTAAAACAAGTCAGTGGTTTGGAAAATTCTAGTGTGGTTTCATCAAATTCGTACTGAAAGTAGACTTTTTTAAACTTTTTTTAATATTATTTCATTCATTAAGCTTTCTGCAAGTTTCAGGGTTCATTGATTCCAGTCCAGCAGGACTGTGGAGAACTCATTGCATGCTGAAGAGGTCATTCAGCCATTTGATTTAGGTGAGGTCACAGCGACACACCTAAAAGGTGCAGGACACAGGACTTCTGGGATCGGAATTAAGGATACCTGATCAAGATCTTAGCTGACTTGAAATAATAAAAAATTGATATTTTTTTTTTGTCCCTTAAAGGTATAGTGGAGGATGTTCCTTTTCTGGGTGCATCATCAAAATAAGCAGTCCTCCTAATTGTCATTCTGGTGATATGTTTATGTAAGGCCGTCCTACGTGCTCCTCCCCATTTTCACCTAACCCTATGCCAAGAAATACCTGGCTGCGGAGAACTGCCTGCCCTCTCGCACACTAATGAGAAAAAGGTTTGAAATATAAACAAAAAGGGAACTTTTAAACATATTCCTAATGTTTTGATATTTCTTATTCCCTTAAGTTTAGAGTTTTGGTGGAAAAATTGCTTTCCAAAATTGCAAGTCTCCTTTCGGAAAGTAAGTTTGTATTTCAACAGAGTGTGCACAAGGACAAATAGGCTTTTGCACGCTCTCACACACATTTAATAGGCGTCCCCTCTCGGGAGCAGGTACAGGGTTGTACATGTGCATTTCTTTTTTAAGTGGAGAGAGCGGGTCTTTGCAAAAAATTCTCCACTACACCTTTAAGTAATTATAACAGACCAGTTTTTGGGGACTAATTTTCACATATTAGTAGAGAGAGTATATAAGCCTATTTATGCTGTGAGTTACCACTTAAAATCATATTTCTCTGCATGACGTTTCATGTAGATTTGTGAAAATGTAGTTCTTAAATTTCTCAGTCTGGATTATGTTAAATATCACTGTAGCAAAAAAAATCTTCAAAATTAGAAAGGCTGGTGGGAATGATTTTTTTTTTTTCTAAAACAGCATGTAATTACCTATATATTAGGGCTGAAAAAATTTAGCAGATGAATCGATTTTTTTAAGTAAACATAAACTTATTTAGTAATCGATTAATCATTAACTGGAGCATAGAGACTGTAAAACATCCCTTTAGTTGACAGAGCAACCCACTTAGAGCAGTAGTTATACCAAGATTGTAAAAAAGAATGTAGAAACATTTTGCATTTAGGATAAAAAAACACTTTTTGTCTGTCAATATGCCCTATCCAGAACTCACATTGAAAAGTTTGAGTTTTACCAGGTTTAATTTAATTAAAAGACTTCTTTAACGAATCTCTGGCTGTACGATTATTAATCAAAAAAATTATTGACAGAATAATCGATTTGCAAAATAATGAATAGTTGCAGTCCTAGTGTGTATATATATATATATATATATATATACACTATATTGCCAAAAGTATTTGCTCACCCATCCAAATTATTGGAATCAGGTGTTCCAATCACTTCCATGGCCACAGGTGTATAAATTCAAGCACCTAGGCATGCAGACTGTTTTTACAAACATTTGTGAAAGAATGGGTCGCTCTCAGGAGCTCAGTGAATTCCAGCGTGGAACTGTGATAGGATGCCACCTGTGCAACAAATCCAGTCGTGAAATTTCCTCGCTCCTAAATATTCCACAGTCAACTGTCAGCTGTATTATAAGAAAATGGAAGTGTTTGGGAACGACAGCAACTCAGCCACGAAGTGGTAGGCCACGTAAACTGACGGAGCGGGGTCAGCGGATGCTGAAGCGCATAGTGCGAAGAGGTCGCCAACTTTCTGCAGAGTCAATCACTACAGACCTCCAAACTTCATGTGGCCTTCAGATTAGCTCAAGAACAGTGCGCAGAGAGCTTCATGGAATGGGTTTCCATGGTCGAGCAGCTGCATCCAAGCCATACATCACCAAGTGCAATGCAAAGCGTCGGATGCGGTGGTGTAAAGCACGCCGCCACTGGACTCTAGAGCAGTGGAGACGCGTTCTCTGGAGTGACGAATCGCGCTTCTCCATCTGGCAATCTGATGGACGGGTCTGGGTTTGGCGGTTGCCAGGAGAACGGTACTTGTCTGACTGCATTGTGCCAAGTGTAAAGTTTGGTGGAGGGGGGATTATGGTGTGGGGTTGTTTTTCAGGAGCTGGGCTTGGCCCCTTAGTTCCAGTGAAAGGAACTCTGAATGCTTCAGCATACCAAGACATTTTGGACAATTCCATGCTCCCAACTTTGTGGGAACAGTTTGGAGCTGGCCCCTTCCTCTTCCAACATGACTGTGCACCAGTGCACAAAGCAAGGTCCATAAAGACATGGATGACAGAGTCTGGTGTGGATGAACTTGACTGGCCTGCACAGAGTCCTGACCTCAACCCGATAGAACACCTTTGGGATGAATTAGAGCGGAGACTGAGAGCCAGGCCTTCTCGTCCAACATCAGTGTGCGACCTCACAAATGCGCTTCTGGAAGAATGGTCAAAAATTCCCATAAACACACTCCTAAACCTTGTGGACAGCCTTCCCAGAAGAGTTGAAGCTGTTCTAGCTGCAAAGGGTGGACCGACGTCATATTGAACCCTATGGATTAGGAACGGGATGTCACTTAAGCTCATATGTGAGTCAAGGCAGGTGAGCAAATACTTTTGGCAATATAGTGTATATATATATATATATATATATATTTTTATATATATATATATAAAACAAAATCCAGGCTTATTTCAGGATTTTCAAGGGACACTACTTATATATTCTGATAAATGCTACACAGAAGTTTAAGGCTGCAACATGACAAATTGTTCAAAAGTCATAGGGATATCAAGACTTTTATAACACTGTAGTTTATTTGTTTGTGCTTGGCCATTTACCTGGTCTGTACAGCTTTGAAGCTTCTCTGTAAGCTTACCTATAACAATAGAGTGATCGGGATGACTTCGGATGATTTCTTTGATTTGTTGAGTGGCTTTTTGTCTGGATGGCAAAATACGGTTGGGGTCACAATTTGTGTTGTCCAAATAGAGAATGTCAATAGTAGTGTTGGTCTGTAAACATGGCTCACGAAGCATAACAGGAGAGAACCTGAAATCACCTGAAAAGTGAAGTTTAAAATGTTAAACATATATTAAAATAACTTGAGTCAAGCAGCACAAAAAAGAGCGTTATTGAATAAGTCTATCTAATTGATGTGCTAAAGAAGACTGACCAGTGTACAGAATTGATCCAAAGTAACCCTCAAAAAGAAACATGACTGCTCCTGGACAGTGGTTGGCATCTATCAGAGTGACGGTGAGCTTCTCTTTGCCTATATCGTCCAGTGGGAGCAGGTGTGGCTCACCGAGCTCTAGAGGATGGATCCATTTTTCTTTCACCTGAAGAGAAGAAGAGAGACAGTTAACAGAAGGGGAACAATTCAGTCCACTGAAGGAAAAAAAGGTCAGTAAATATCACAGAAGAAAGCCGTTAAAAAAAAACAAAAAAAACCTTTTGGGCATTTAGTCATACTTAATCCAAACACTTGTTTTAAAGAAGACCACAACTGTGTTTAAAATAATGTACAATTTTAAATTTAAGCACATTCTTTTAATATTTACAGTAATAATTAGAGATAGCTGTATTGATTCTGTGAGCAATAAGGACAACAAACAGCTTTACATACAACCCAGCTTATCCCACACAACTTATTGTAGCTTGCCAGCCATACGAGTTATCCTCAATATGAGTGGTGCCAATTGCCAGAACCCATATAACTGTTTCTTATCTTTTCCAAATTGAAATATATCCAGCCTAGGGCTTTAACTAATGATTATTAGCAAATCGATTAATCTGTGGATAATTTTTCCTATTAATCGATTAATAATCGGATACCAAAAGGTTCCTTAAAGTAGACTTTTTATTCAAATAAACCAGGTGAAACTAAAACTTTTCCACTTGAGGAGTGCTGGATAGAACATATTGACAGGAGATTTTTTTTTCTTATCTTAAATACAAAATAGATACAGAATATTACTTTTTTTCCACAATTTTGGTATAATTACTGCTCTTACTGCTCTGTCAGCTAAAGCCAAGTTTTACAGTCTCTATACTCCAGTTAACGATGAATCAATTACTAAATTACAGACGATTATTTTGATTATCAATTATTCACGATTAATCTGATTGTTTAAGCCCTAATCCAGCCAGTGGTTTTCTTCTTTCCTTTTAGAAAGGAGACAAAGAAGTACCCCTCTGCATCATTTTAAAGCTCAGCATAGGGGAAAATATTGTCACTGTGGCATCTAATTAAATGATCATCAAACATAGAAACAGTATGATGGAAGTTTTTAAACTAACTTATTTAAACTTTGGTTTGAAATACCTCTAGTAATCTAATCAGCCTGCATAGGGTGACCAGACGTCCTCTTTTTTCCCGGACAGGTCCTACTTTTCATACCTAAAAAAATGTCTGGGGGGAATTTCAAAACCATCCGGGATTTTGGTCGAATACAGTGCAGCATGTAGTCAAAACACACCGGGCGCTGGAACCGAGCCGTCAGCACCGGGCCTGGAACCCTGCCGGACGGGGGCAGGGAGCCAGCAGAGGTAGCAGAGGTTGGGTGCAGCTAACTATGTTTAGAGCGTTTTGAGTCCATGTTTTTTTTTTCCTTTTTCGTGCTGCTCCTGTGAACCGCATCTCAGTGTAACATCATCGGATCTGTCGCTTTGAGACATCTGATTTGCAGTTGCATTTCACTGCGTAAACAGTAGCTACTATGTGGTTGGATGAGAGACGCACAGCAGCATTCAGAGAGTATTAACCAGCAGCTACTTCGATGGATGCTTATGTAAAAGTTAGGAGACGGGTTGGTTAAAAAATTAGAGACGCCACCGAAAAATCTGTTTGTTAGAAATGTAGAGCTTTTTCAGCTTTTTACTATTTTTCAAGGCTGCACTGGGAAAAAAAAGAAATTGTCCAGAGAGCTGTTCTAAACGAAATTTCTTTTTCTTTTACACTTGTGTAAACAAAATGACAAATAAATCCAAGTCTAAGTCTAATAAGGCGCCACAATGAGGCTTTCATTAGTTTAAGTAACTGGATACAGTGTTAATAGATGCGAGTTTCTGTGTTAAACATCCATTATAGGGTTTGTTTTCCAGTCTGGCTCACCTGCAGTCTGAGCCTGAGCAGGGAGGCAGTGATGGGGGAGCAGTAGATGGGCCGGTTGCTCCATGTGGACGTCAGACCCACCGTGTGGTCGCTGTGCATGTGGGTCAGGAAGAACAGTCTGCTGCCAGGACATTTCCTTACATGCCAAAAGTCTACAACCAGCGGGGTGTGCGGAATGACTTTCCCATTAGCAGACATGGTCAATTATTTCTCTATAAATCACAAACCTGAACAGGACCTCCCTATCGACGTGATTTTTTGCAGAGTCATTTCAGATATACTCGAACACACCGAAACCTAAACGTTACAGTCTGATACTACTTAAAAAAAGAGACACAGTTGACATTATAGACAAAAATTCAACGCAGATATATCAAAATATTGGTCTATTTGTTGAAAGCGTGTGCTACAAACAGCTCCGCCGCTCATTAACACTAGATCTTGTAGTCGTGCTTATCAGGGCTCGATATTCTGAAAATAAACCTCAACATCTTGACTAGTTTTTAATTTTCGCTGCTATACTAACATTTTACCCCGCCAGTTCATTTTTCGAATGGATGCTCAACGCCTTCTTCCCGTTTGCATCTTCCTTGCTTTGTTTCTAGCTGTAGCTTTGCTGCTTGTCCTAAACATTACTGCCATCTAGCGGCTGAACACCAGTGGCTGCTTCTCTATGAAGATCTGGAAATCAAGACAGTTTAAAATTGCATAAGGGACGTTTAGATGTTCTTTTTTATTTATAAAGTTATTTTAAAGTGATTATGACATCTCATACATCTACCAAATGTCTTTTTTTTGTCATAGATCCAGATGCTCTGTAGATCTTCAATTAAACAATTGCTTACTTAATTGTCAGGCTCTACTTAACTGAATCATACAAAGTATGTTCCTTTTCTACTTTGGTACAGTTTATTATAGTTTTGTTGCACATTCCTTAGCTTCAATAATTGCCTGCAAATGGTTTAGTACAAAGATACACATGCTTGAGATTTTATGACAACCCCCCCCCACCCCCCCACCCTTCTAATAGCAGCTTAACCACATTTTATTGTGGTTGAATAAGAAATTATATATATTTTTGTGTTTTCGACAGCATCCTGACCTAAGACCTATATCCTAAGACTGTAGATGTAATTCAATGTAGCGGAAATTAAGACATAGTAAAAAAAAAAAAAAAAAGTCTTTACGGAGGTGAGAGATCCTCATGAAGACCTTTTAAAAATAAAATAAAAACATATTTTCTAAAGTAAAAACTTCTTGTTATATTTGTCTCTTTTTTTTTTTACTTTAAGAGAGGGAAAAGGTTAATGTTTTTACAGTAGAGAAAATATATCTTTCTACTTGGAAATGGGAAACTGAACTGACAAAAAAAGTTAATTAAAGAACATAAAGATGAAGATAAAGTTGAGAAAATGAACTTGTTCACTGCTGTGTTGTATAAGCCAGTCTTATGAAACCTGTCTTTCCAGCAATGACAATGAAATTAAGAATTTTGGTAATTATGAAGATTGAAAAATAGATTTCAATGCATCCAGCATTTCCCTTCTCAAATGGAAATGCTGAATTATGACCTTCTCCCACAAGATGGCACCAACAGAAAGCTAAAAGCATTGCTATGACTGTTTTGAAAGCAAACACTGTAGCCTATTTTTTCCTGTACATAATGAGCTCCATCAAAAAAAAAACCTCCCTGAAAGGAAAGCCTGCTTGTCTTTTACAAAAAAAAAAAAAAAAAAAAAAAAAAAAAAAAAGGTTTCACCTGTTAAAATGTAAATTCTTTGTTGGAATAGATGTTAAAAATGTACCGTCAATTCATGTTTTATAACTTTATTAATTTCTGCTCATGAATTGTCTATTTTTGTTCTTCTACCATGTTTACAGACAGGAAAGATGATTCACCTGAATGGGGTCATTGCTATAGTGATGTCAGCAGCTGTCGGTGCTGCCCAACCCCCACCTCTGGTTTCACAGTGCTCACTTTTTGCTATTATACCTGGCACTGAAGCACATTCCCTATTTCACAACACAATACAACACACTTTCTCACAGGCTGGAGTCCTTTAATAACTTTCTGCTTTATTGGTAATTATTCTGCTCTCTCCTGACCATGCTGTAAGGAACATTATTTGATTATTACTGTGACACGTCAACTCAGCACAGATAGAGGCCCTTTGTTTGCAGCACATTACGGACACGTTTAAGCTCTCAAGCAGTGAGAAGTGTATAAACGGCAGAATATTTGGTGTTTTAATTGGAACTGTGTTGTTGGGAGTTGTTGTAATAGTACCACAGTACTTTTCAAAAGGGTTGGAACCCATTAAATATTTTTATATTTCACTATTCACAAACAGCAATGTACTTTATTGGAATTTTATAATAGAAACCAGAGTACATAACTACAAAGCTGATAGAAAATGAAGGCTTACTTTATGTGTTAAACCATGTTTACTGTGATACCGCTAAATATAATCCTAATTATCTTTTGCCTTCACAGATGTAATTTATTCTAGTAAATACAGCTCACCTGTGGGTGAATTCATCTGTTTATAAATCCAGGTATTTTGTGAAGGGCTCCCAAGTTGAGGTTAGTGTAAAAAAAAATGAACATCTTTTAGTCTATTAGCTGTGCGCTAAATAAACTGTGTTTTTGTGGGGGAAAAATAAGGCTGTTGTTTCAGGATGATACATGTTTTTAAATGGTGGTTGCACTGTGTGGCTTTAGAGAAAGACTGATTCAAACTGACATAAAGAAAGATGGAGTCAAAGAGAGGTTATTGGCTGCTAAAGACTTGAGAATGGGGTGGAGGTTAGGACAATGACCCCTTATCATACAACCAGGCCTACACTGGAGTGACCTAAATCAGAACCACACATCAGGAGTCAGCAGCCCTGTTAGGATTTTTCCAGCCAAAGGTCACAAAGGTCAGCAGAATAAGTTGGCAGAAAAGTGCTCTCAGACAGCAGTTAAGATGCAGTGAAAACAGATGGTTGCACAATCTGTCACTGCTGTTCTGCTGTTATCACAAGCCATACTTTAACCCCTCCCATATACACTTGTATGGATCCTTTCTGAGTTATTGAGGCCTTTGGTCATAAGCTGCCATCTAAATTTTGTTGAAAGTGTTTATACGCATTGCATGTGTCAAGTCTTGTGAAATATTAAACTGGAACTTTGATGGCAAAATGAAATTGTGGGGCCATGCTAAAACATGTCATCCCAGCCTTCTAGTAAATTCTCTCATCTCCTGGCATCACTGTATATTTGTCCTGTGGGAATTAAGAACATAACAAGCGCTTGTCATTCTGCCCATTGATCACAATCAACAGATTTGCTCAGTCAGGGGAGATGGAGGTTTATGCCTCATGACTCTCCAGGGATGAGGCAGTGGTCCTGCAAAGAAACTCCTGAGGTATTTATGGACATGTGTGAGGAGCTAAAAATATTCATGTTTGCTCACAGCAAACAGGCCGCTGCTAAAGATACTAATCCAGAATTTGGCAAAGGCTCACACTGATCCATCTGCTGACTGTTCTCCTCCGTCCTTTCCTAAACAATCGTCTTTGTTTCACCTTTTTTTCCCCTCCATTCTTGTTTGCTTTCATCCACAGCAAATCTCCTGCTATATCCACTTGCTGTATGTCATCTTTTGGACAAGCCAGCTCATAATAACCTGACCTCCAGTGTGGTGTGACCACCCTCTTTTTAGCTTGGCTGCAGCACTTACACTATCAGGAGTGGAAAGAGATCATTTCTTCAATTGTAAATCACGATGAGGCTGTAAACCACTAGGGAATGGGGATTTTACTGTTTTGACTGATTTTATTTAGTGCCTAAAGATTACCAACGTGTTTCTGAAAATCCTATCTGGAACCTGGAAAGGATTTGGCTGTACACTAAGCACAGCAATCAGCATATGACTTGCTGTCACCACAGTGCTGCAAAGAGGAAGAAATGTGACATTCTCCTTCCTTGAGGTCTGTGAATGTTTTTGCATTTTTTAAAGCAGGGTGCATGAATGAGGACATCCTAGCTGAAGAGTTTTGTGGAAGATCAACGATGCATAGAGTCACGGCTGAGTGGTAGGGATGTATCTGTTAATCAGTTCTCTCCATCTATGCCTGAAGGCTGGTCAATTTATCAAACACACTAGTCTTTAATGAAAACAGATGCAAACCAAACACTTGCAGAAGAGAGTAAAACAATATTATTAATGTTCTGCACTTATCGAACCATAAAAGCTGAAAGTTATAGGTGTTTGTGAACTATACCTTAATATATGTTTATTTTTAAATTTTTTACCAGAGTTTTTTCCTGGATACAGGTTGGGGTGTGCTGAGTAAATCAATTTGAATTTAATTAATTCAATGAATTAATTAAATTCGTTAAGCTTTTTTTCTTTGTTACTAATGTAAACTGTTTATTAGCAACATTTCAATTTAGCAAACTGGGAATTGCAAAAAAAGGTCATTTTTTTGTCAATTTTACAAACCGAAGTTGTTTCAGTTTTTGCTGAAGCACAGCATTTGTTACAGACTGTTCACTATAACTGCCAGCACTTTTACAGGAGCTCTGACAGCTAACTGACAGCTCCTCACAAATATCTGTCAACACAAAGCTGTCACCTTACTCAAGAGGACATTAAAGTAAATGGTTCACTCATGATGGACATGGAGGGTGTTTTGTTCACAACTGACTTCACTAATGTGGGTGTTGCTGCTGTCGACAATAGTTAAGAAAGCTAGATTTCAAAGGGGAGCTCTTAATTTATAAATCTATCTAAGTTCCCACTCTGTTGGTCATGACCAAAATATAAAGATTTCAGATACAAGCTGCTAAAGAGCCATAAACTTTGATCTGCAGGGTTAAGGTTTAAAGATAGAATGAGGAGGTCTGGTTGTTCATGTTGACTATTTTTCTTTTTGGTAACTACTTAAGAAAATCTCTACAGCATGATCCTGCCACTGCCGTGTTTCGTCCTGACTTTGAATCAGGGGTTTTACAGTGTTTATTATCTGTTAGATGTAATGTTTGCTTTTCCTTACATGGCTTCTGGCTAACCTTAAACAGGACTTTTTTTTTTCTTTTTGCTATCCTTATAAGGGTATGCCTGTAGAACGCTCAACTTCTAGTTGTCCTTTTTACAGATTGTCCCATCTAAGCTACGGATTTCTGCAGCTCCAACATGGCTACAATGAGCCTTTTGGATTTTCTGTTGGTCACTGGCAATCATGCTTGGCCTGTCAGTTTATGTAGACAGCCATGTCTTGGTGAGTTTTGCAAATGTCTATTAGAATATTTATTTAACAGAGCTCCCTTAAGCATTCAATCATCAGATTCTGTTTTGTAACCCAACTTTGCTTTAAATTTCACCTCTGCTTAATTACTGGTCTGTCTGTTGTGTTATTTGGTCTTCCCAATACAATTTTGGGTTAAGAAAAGTATAAGACAAGTTATACAAATAACTGAAAAAGAAGTTCCAAACTGTTCAGATTTGTAAAAATATCAAAAGTTTTCCATCCATCCATCCATCCATTTTCTGTCACGCTTATCCAAAGCAGGGTCGCAAAGGGTGCCTGTGCCT